TGACTCCAGCACAGTAGTAAGCTGTGTGCCAAATAATAGAGACATAAGCCAGGGGAGGGGAAAACACCTAATGAACTGGTGCAGGGAGGACTTCAACTTTCATAATAATTGTAGATAGATTACCTTCTGTATACATTTGATTTCTAGTTCAGTGGACAAATGTAGAAAAGCTTTGCACTATGACTGTAATCATACAACTTCCTTTTACCTGAGTGAGCTTCCCACCCCAGGATAAGCCCCTGAGAGCAATCCTGCTACCTCTGGGAAGCTCTGAAACGTTTCCTAAAAATTCTGCGGATACACACATTTGCAGATGATGGATAATTTATAGCAAATAAATTGCCTTACAAAAGTCATAAAAACACCAAAGCTACAATGCCCTGGGGTGTTTTAAATGGATGCTTTAATGGCAATATAATGGTTATTCTAAGGAACATTTCACTAAATTACAAAGATAAATAGGCACAGACCAGGTCTACTGGTTTAGAAATGTAGAAGAGCTTTAGAATACCTAGATCCTTTTATCACCACACAGACTAAGCAGATATCTATTTGCAAACAGGTAGGGTTATTCAGCAGAGGGAGATGTGTATCTGTGCAAGACCTGCCCCAGCATCACATGGATCTGGAAGAGACTAAAGCAGGGTTTTTCAAACATTTTGGTCCAATGACTCCCTAAAATAATACAGACTGCACTCTGATAGGACTCCCATTATAGACAGGCTCCTTCTCTACCTGGACAAGCCAGCTGCTAGAACAATGGCAGCCCATTGGTTTTTGCATTTTTAGTCACTGAAGGGGAGGATCACACAAATTGATTTCATATTTCATCTGGAACAGCTGGATAGGCCACCTCCTCTTGGATGTAGCTTTCTGGTTCTCATCTATGCCCTGGAATCCCTTTAGAGGAATTTAGGCCTGAATCTTCACCACCATTCCCATGCAGGCAAGCCTGCCGAAACTCAGGTCAGCATCACAGCCAGGCCTAACAGTTAACGTGAAAAAAGGGGACTAGCAAATCTTGTGCAGGTGCATCAGTGAGCTAGCAAAGATGGTGCAGAACCCTACCTAAAACAGCACAATTCTGCCTAGACAGTTTTGTCGGGCAGAGTGCAAATCACAAACACTCCTGTTTGTGCAGAACGCAGCAAAAACTCCAGGAAAAGTTATCCAGGAAAGATAC